GTATATGAGATTTTGATTCTGTAACACAGATTTTGTATAATGTTTTTGCTTCACTAACCTGAAATGATATGAATTGTATCAACCACAGAAGAAGTCTAGGCTTTCCAAACCAGAAGAGCTCATCCCTCAGGTTGAACTGACGGTTTCCCAGCCATGGAAATGAATCCATAATTTCAACAGCCAATTTCACCACCACCCGGTGCAGTTTTGTACCAATTAGCAGGATTAACTTTGACATACCCATCAAGAAGGAAAAGAACGGCATCAAATGGGCTATTAAGAACAATTAAGTACGGCAAGGAACTGAAAGTGGAACTTAGTGGACTTACAATGGCTGGCAGAAAGGAAAGCCAAAAGTAAAGATCAGTTCCTGAACCAAAAAAACAGATAGTTCAAGGTTTCAGGAACGAAGCAAGCAGGAGTTACAAAGATACAAGAGAAAAACAAAGTTATATGCAACTAAGATGGTGTTTGGTTGCATCAGCAGAACTGCTAAGCTCTTTCTCTACTAAGCAGTGAAGGCTGAGTTAGCTCAACTGGGAGGTTCTAGAAAAACAAGTTTCAGGCGTGGTTGAATTTTGAATAACTGTCCTATGTGTTTTCCAGAGACAATATTGTCCCAGCTCTTCAGTTACTACCTTATCATGACTTATGGAAAATTACCGTGAAACTCGAGGAAAATGCAACATATGCCATAAATCCACAGAGGCACACTGCAAAAGAAGCCCAAGCACTGGAAATCAATATGACTTGCTGTTTTGCAGGAGTTATGTTGCTAAAGCATAAAGACAGCGGTCTTCAGACAAAAATTGCTTGGACTGCCAACATTTTCATTATCTTGCTCATTGCATTCAGACAACATGAAATGCAGCATATGGCTCACATTCGTTCTGTTAGCTATAATGCAGTACTCTGACACTTACAATTAGCTTGCTGTATATACTCATTATTACCATGACATAATCATGCAAGTAAAAATTACTGTTGGAAAAAGTAAATGGCTGAAATAACAACAATTTCTTGCACATTAATTCAAGGAATGCCATTAGGGTATTACCTGATGCCAACAATATCACGGAATTCCTCCTCCATGCTTCGAAGCATATAATTATGGAAATCATATGTCAAAGGAAGTTGATGTTTCTGAAAATAGGAAAAGAAAAATAAACCAAAATAAGAATGAAATGTTTTGAGCCAACAATAAGTAATGCTGATTTGTTCTGAAAATCTTTCTTGTATGTTGGGATACTATATGATAGATATTTAGTTTTTCCTTGATAGAATCTATGAGAAAGAGAAGCTCCATTTAGATCACAAAGAGCATACGCTGATGAAACCCAAGCGCAAAGCCATATAGTCAGCTTGGTTTATGGAACTCCAGAACTGGCGGCTGAAACAAAGCTGCAAATTCATATATGATCACTCAAATGCTAGAAACAAAACCAGAATAAAAGAGAGTTCATCAATATGCAACCATGCAACCAGAATGTATGGAAATGATCTGCATAAAATTTACTATATCAATTTTATGAAAGGACTGACTTTAAGCAACTTCTGTAACATCTACAGGAAGATGGTCTTCCAAATTTCCTGATTTTCATGCTGAGCCAATAGATGGCCCCAAAGAAAACCAAACATTCTGAACGACTGGAATTCGATTCTCAAAGGAATCAACATTAATCTTAAAAAAGTGTTCATAGGGTGATTTAATCTGTACAATCAATGATTGTGGAAAATCAGAAGTAGATGCGACGAGGTTTTGCAACCACTTACAGTCAAGCCATGCATATCATTATTATTTTGCTTAAATTAGACCTGCAACAGCATGTGCCATAAAGGGACATGGTTTTCTGATATTACCAGCCAAACAAGAACTCGGTGCTGGCTCCATGGATGGGATATGTGGTGACAAATGAAGGTAGATAGTTGTCTTGTTTCGTCAAATGCAGCTTCAGGTGATCCTGGAATTCAGAAATTGTATTCATGGCCAAAAAGAGATTCTCATTTATGAGGGTTTTCTTGGTAACTCTAAGCAAAGAAATCCAGGAAAAAAATTAACACGATGCTATCTTGGACTATAAAATTCTGCACCTAGTACACTTTGAAGAGCCATGGTCTTTGCCTGGTTTTCCCATGTTCTCCAGCTATAAATCTGCACTCATTAAAAACAAAATCTCAGAGCTCTCTTTATGAATATCAAGCTTCAATTGTTATCAACAGAAATTGTAATGGTAAGGGTGCGGTCAGACCTTGATCATGGCCAAGGCTATGGCAATAAAGCTGTAAGAAACATGGGTAACTCCCAGGACAAACATCAAACGATGAAGCTGCTCGAGACTTTCATGTGAAACGAAGGATTCATGACCCTTGACGACAAATAAATTCAAAAACAATCAGTGTTTCGATTAATAAAAACAGAATAATAGCAGACGTAAAACAATCAGTGTTTCGATTAATAGAAACAGAATAATAGCAGACGTACACCACCTCCCACTGCATAACGGTAAAGTTCGATATAAAAACAAAAATCATCAAGGCAAACCAAGAAAAAAAAAATGCCATGTAAACATTACACTTTGAAGAGGAGAGTCACCTCCGGACAATATTCATTCTTTTGTTTGTGCACCAGCTCTTTAACAAATGAATCGTTTGTGTACTTTACTCTTGAAAGAACATGTTGTCCTGGTGTTAAATTATTCTTCTTCACCACGCATGGATAAAATGTGCTGTTCAAAGCTGATGATTTAACACAAATCTTGGCCACAAAAACAATCCAATGACCCATCAACAACGATAGAAGCCCAAAAACCATTAGCTCTGCTCACAGATTGACAAAACCAAACAATGAGAATCAAAACAACTACTTTTCTTTTGAACTGACCCAATAATTTGCATTTTCAATCAATTCTTGTTGCTTACCTTCTTTGATCTTGTCTAGTGCTGAAAGTAGTGCTTTTCTCTTGGTCCTATCCAGCCACTATTGAAAAGAAAGACAGAGGATCACAACAGATAATTATAACATCAAAGTACCACTCCAGACATGAGAGAACTGAGACAAAGAGACACGTATTTATGGCATCAAAAGGTTGAAAATTGAACTTGTTAAGAACTACCAACATTTGTGAGAAAATCTTATACCTTTGCAAGCCGTTTCAAGGAGCCTTGAAAGAAGAAACCAAGAGAAACCATAACCACCACCACAGTGACCACAGCCCATGTAGGGGTCATCTCCAAAGATACCTCTTTATCCATCTCTCCTTCCAATACCAAGATCCCGATTAGCTTCAGATATCAGTATATAAAATCATCAAATCGCCAACATGAAGAAACAAAGGTGACCCAATTGGTCATTTTCATCGCTTCTTATGCAAAGCTGATTTGACCAGATCAGTGATGTGAACATTTTCATGTTGGTGGGCTTAGGTTTGTTCCTTGAAATAGAGACTAGAACTCCAAGAGAATTTAAGAAACCATGCAAGGTTGTTATAAGCCAAACGGAATAATGGGACACCTTAACACAACATCTTGACAGCCAGACTTATGCATGTTGGGAAACAGACACCAACGTGCCTTTGTCTTTTGTCTTCCATTTTTCCCCTTTTCATGTGGAAGTTTAAGAATCATATGAACATTGCACAGGACTGCATCGATACAGATCAATCACTTCGCATAATTTTTAAAAAAATGTAGAATGCATGTGCTAATAATAAGCATGAGAATGTTCAAGGCCGGTTGGTGAATCTCATAAATATAGTATAACAGATTAGGTGATCCACAAGGAGAATTCAAATGTCTGCAAATGGCAACATGTTGCTTAACCATGTTTAAATTGATTAGCATTATTAAATTACTTTCATTAACTATATTTATGTATATTAAATTAGGAGCTATCCAGATAATTAGAAGTCTTAAATGTCTCTAAGACTCTGATTTTGTTAGAAATAGAAGTTATATATATACTTTGCTGCCTGTTGAATAACAAGGTTGCTTTTAAAGTGCAATTACAGCAAAATTAAATGCTTCGCAGAGCTACAACTAGTTTTCTGACAAAATAATCTGCTAGCCTTCATAGTTAAAGGATTTTTTTTTAAATTAAAAAAATTAATGAATTAATACAGGTTAAAACAATGTTGGTGAAATAATAAATTTTATATTTTAGAAGCGTGACTCGATTCAATTGTATTTTTTCATCTTAATTAAATTTAGTTAAATTAATCATTTGATCATTTTATATAAAAATTATAATTTTATAAAAATTTTAATATATATTTTATAAATTAAAATGTATATTTTTATCTAACTTGTTTAACTTGTTAATTAAAAAATAAACTCTAAATAAAACATTAAAAAATTATTATTTATAAATAACTTTAAATAACCAAGTTTAAATCAAAATTTGACCTAACATATATATATATATATATATATTTGTGAACGCAAAATAGATTTGTATTTATAAACTAATAAGATAAATTAAAATTCAGAAAACAATCTACCATACAGATTAAAATAAAAACTTAAAAAAATAATAATTGAATTATATTTAAGTTTTTATTTAGATTTTTATAGAAATTTTTAAAAATTATTTTCTTTATATCAATCGCTACATCGTCATGTAAATGATCAGATTTTCAGATATAAAAAATCTTGGCAAGACTCCTCACTTTTAATAATTTTAAGATTTTTCCTCACCAATAAACGAATTTCACCGACTATTATAAATTAGCCAACCATTTAAATTAGAAATGACACCGTTTAATTATATCAGAATTAATAACACGATATTTACTAAATATTATTATTCTGAAAAGTGATATGATCACCCGATTTATCCAAAGTTCAGAGCCCGCTTGGCTTCCACATGTTGCAATAAAAGCCCTAGCATGGGGCAGATGGCAACGGTTCACCAACTTTGACACACCCAATCTGGTCTCATTGATGATACCTATTTTTCCCTTCTTCCACTAGCCTGGCTTTACTACGGGCTAGAGATCAGGACATGTGGCAAGAAGCTGAACAGCTATTATAATTATCGATATTAACATTAATATTGCATCCACAATGCTGTGCCATCTGTCACACAACCACTAAATGACTGTTCGAGAAATGGCGGCAATAATGACTGGATTTACAGATCAGAGTTCATCTCTCTCTTTCTTCTCTATCTTCACCGGAAAAACATTCTCCGTCCAAGCAAGATAGCCTCCTCCCACGTTGCTTACATCTTTGAAACCCTGCCCAATTCAACAACAATTCAGTTTTCCCACCCTTTCAACCTCTCTCACTCTTCAATCCTTTGAAAAAGCATGTAGCCCATTTATTAACTTTTATAAATCATAAGTTCATTGTAACTTGGATGGATACTTGTAAAGTGTTTTTGGAAATTCCGTTGAATTTTGTTTTTAAAAAATTTTGAGATTTTTTTATTTTAAATTATTTTTTTATTATTTTAATATTTGCATTAAAAATAAATTTTAAAAAATAAAAAAATAACATTTTAATATATTGCTAACCAAAACACACTTAAAAAGACTTTATGTATTCTAACAAAATTCTCATGAATAATTAAATATATTTGATATTATAGTAGCTATTTGTAGTTGTGATTTAAAAAAAAATATTTTATAAAAAATATTTTTAGTTGAAATTGATTTAAAAAAATATATATTTAATTAAAATTATAATTAAAATTAAGATTGAACAAAAAATAATTTAATATATTTAGTTAAAAATACTTTTAAAATTGAAATTATAAAATAATTTTAAAAAATATATATTAATATTTATAATTTTTAATTTAAATATTATATATTTAACTATTATTATATTATAAAATAAATCATTCTTTATTGTTCAATTAAATTATCTACAATTCTATTACATACAAAATTCATCATACAAAATTCATCTGATAAGAACTATCAATTAAATTATCTACAATTCTATTACATACAAAATTCATCTGATAAGAACTATAATTTCCATGATTTTTTAAGCATGTAATTAAATTAAATAAAATATTATCATGAATAAAATTAAAATTACAGTATGAATAAATTCAATTCACTTTAAACTAATTTTTTTTAAAATAAAAATTATTCTTCACATTTACATGAATAATGCGAGTAAAATCTACAAGTAAAATCCATTAACTGTACTAATTTTTTAAAAAAAAAACTATTAACTTATTTTTAAAATAAAAATTCATTTCCAATGCAAGTTACTAGTTTTTTGCAATGTTTATTTTAGTTAACAGTGCGACTATAGAGGGTTAGTAAACAATATAATTATGGAGGGATGCTGTACTGTTCATTAAACAATACAGCATGATTAAACAATACAGCATGATGTAACTGCAAGAAGAAGGTAAGATCTGTTTTTATTTTCCATGCGTTTCAAATATATAATTATTTTTATTATTAAATATTGTTATATTTGTATTTTAAATAAAATTAAACGCAACAACATAGACAAATACAATTCATTTGAGTTTTGAAAGAAAAATAATGGTTAATAGTAGTTAAATTAATTTTTTTATGTTTTAAAAATATTTTAAAAAATTAATATTTTTGTTGAAAATAAATTTTAAAAATAAAAAAATATATTATTTTAATATATTTTAAAAAATATTTTAAAAACAACAAAACTGCAATACCAATCATGCTCATGAGTGTTCAAAAAATTAGGCACAAAACAAAACGAGAACCAGGGCAGGGACACTTGTCGAATGACTTTAGATGAACTTACAGCACTAAGAAGATCAGCAGTTGCATACAGGGATCTGACTCCACTTTGACAGCCCTATCATCAAAAAAAGGTGGATGAAAGTTCTTCTATTCACATTTATTTTGTTGAGAGATTTAATGGTAAGTTAATGAATGCTTACCACAAGAAGTTTATCTTCCTCCTTGCACACACCTGAGACCTCCTTCAGAAAGTTGGGATTTTTAACCCTCCCTGTGGCCCAAAAGCACATGAAATCTTGTTTGTTTTCCAAGCACAAATGAACTAGCTATGGAATCATGAGAGAGATGAACAAATGCTGGTCGATTTCTAGATCTTACCCTCTGGTGTATTGAACAAGTAAGGAATATTGAATACCTTCTCTCCATCCACGTGTCCTTTATTGTACTCCTCCACTGTCCTGTTGGTATGAGGGACAAAAAGACAAGAACTCTGAGAAAACCTATAATGTCAATATAATTAACAATCTAGAGAGAGAGAGAGAGAGAGCACCATAAAAGTTATGAAACAGAGAGCCATTTACCTAACATCTAGATAAGTATAGCCTGACTCAAGCAAACCCTTAGTTGCCTTGACATCAATGGTGACAACTTCAGCTCCTGTGCTAAAATAGATCAAAGAAAGAAGAAACAGCCCGCGAAGGAACAAACCCATATCAAGTTATGCAAAATAAAGAAGAAACGAGGAGAACTTTATGTTGTTCCAAAAAAGAATAAAAACTGGAACCTTTTATCTAGGGAGCCCATGAAGACCACTTCGTGTCTGTGCAAGTTGAATATAGTTGACCTGACTTTTTTTTTTCAAAATCCAGTGGCTGTTTGAGTGGTTTGCCTGAGAAAACCAGCTGCAGATACCATAACCACAGCAGCAGCAGCTGTTTATAGCACCCAATTGTTTTGTTTGGAGTTTCGGTAAAGGTACATAAGCATACGTAGCGGTCCAATCACATAGGGCCCAATTACACGTAACAGTCCTATATCACGTGGAATCACGACAAGTAGGCGTGAAAAGACATTGATGGGAAAGTATACCTACCTTTCAATGATAGAAGGGCGGTTTTACTTGAGCAGGCACCAGGAATCCTCTTCACATTTCTGTCGGCATCATCCAGCATGGTGAACTAGAAAGGAGAGCTTGGGATTAAGGGTTTGCTCCCCTGCCTTCTGTTTTCTGATATAGATGGATATGAAACGTTTAAATGGTTGGTTGTTGATTTTAGGATTTGTGAGGATTAATTGAAGTAGATAATTAGTCCGGTTTTTTTACATGAATAAAAAAACCTGGGGAGGAGAGGAGATTATTTTTACTTTGATTTTGTTTTTATTTATAAAATATAAAATTAAAATTAAATTAAAAACAGATTTAAATTGATTGGTTATGGTTTAGTTTAGTTATTTTATTTTAAAAATTAAAATTTCATTGATGAATTTTAATTTTATTCAATTTGATTTTGGTAAGGTTTAGTTATTTTATATTAAAATCTAAAAATTATATTGGTTTTTAGAGATTTTTTTTTTTTGAATTTTATAATGAAGTTAGATTCAGTTTTGTCAGGTTTTTTAATTTAATTTTTTATTTTTTCATTTAGTTCAGTTGGATTTTCAAAATCAATATGAAAGAAGTAATTTTTTAAATATTTTAATTAATTTATTATTTTTTTCCATTTAGTTCAGATCAGTTTTCAAAACCAAACTGAATTAAATACTTTTTTTAAATATTCTAATTAATTTAATTAATTTTTTTAAGTTAAATATTTTCATTCTTTTTTTTAATCATCTCGATTTAATTAGTTTCAAGACATTGGATAGAGCGTAAGCGCCTATTATAGATTGCACTCACAGAAGCCATATCAATCCTTAATAAAGAGACAACTAGAATAATCCCATTCTTTATATCAACTTTCAAAACTAAAGCCTGCAGTGTACTTGTTTTTGTTTTGCTTGCAAGGCTTTGGCAAAGATGTTTATAAATAGAACTTGAATGGTGCAAAAGAAAGATGATTGTAAATCGATGACACCAGGGGAGAACATTCTGTCAATCATTCTCGTTAACTTTAGTCTTGGTATATACATACATCAACAAATTTCAAAGACAAACATGGTAAAATAAAAATATTCACAATTCAGTAGAATATACATTTGGAAGATTTTAACCCTGGCTCAATCCGCAGACAATCAGTATATAAACGCAGAGTAGAGCACAAATCCTTCACTCTCCTTCGTATTAAGACAGTACAAATGAGCTTCCATGGAAGTTCTACGGACAGAGTTTTACAATAACACATCAAAATGTGCAGCGGCATCTCATATGTCAATTTAAGACTGTAGAGAAACAACTTTAGAAAACAGCAGAAGGCCTGAAACAGAAAGGCAGAGGGAAAATATGGGAGTTAGCCATGAGTTGCTCACCACTGAAGATATAAAGCATAAGCTTTTTATAGTCAACGATTCCCCAAAAATCAACCAGTTTTAAATGCACCACGACGATGATGAATTGCTGAAGTTTCAAGATTCAAAACACTAGATTTCTGATACGGTGTTAACCCCCATACCTGATTATCAAAGCTAGGCAAACTGCCAGATGTATTTACAGATTCTGAAGCCGGATTCACCTCTTGATCTGCAAAGAAGATAAACCACTTTCACTGAGAATTGACATATTTTGCAAAGGCAGTATGGCACACCTATTCTGTCTAGAGTCTTTTCAAGAATTAAGGCAAACTGTATTTTGTTTAGCTTCAATATCTGTTAAAAAATAGACAAATTCATTACCATGTATTATTTCCATCTAAGACTACCACTCTTGATATTTGTGATTCTTCTATTATTTTCCCTTTCCATTGCAAGAAAAAAATCGAGGAACTTCATGTTAGGGCAACAGCATATGACTTCTTAAACTTAACAGACAACATAATCCATTTCATTGTTTAAAATAAATCCAGCCCCACACCACTCAATCTCTATCAACCAGTTGCTAACAGCTATAACTGGTACACCACCATAAGAAACAAGAATGTGTCAAAATATTAGCAAAATCCGCAATACACAACCAATGGTCATTGCTAAAACAATCCTTTCTAATGTTTATCACCCTCCATGTTCCTATCACCAGAAAGGATACCTTTATCAAGAAAGCTACACAGAAACCCCCCAACCAATTTGCACTCTACTAGGGAAAGTGGAGATCAAAAAATTCTATAAATGCTGAGCTAACTCCTCCTGGACTGCCCATAAGCACTTAACTTGAATGTACCACCACACACTGAAATACAACGAAGTGATAACCCTTGCTAGACATTAGCTAATGTGTTTTGATGGTCAATAATAATAATAATAATAATAAACCATGTCCCTGGTTCCTCATATATAGGGGCGTTGTTTCAACTTAATTTCTATACAATCTGATTCTTTCCTACCTCAAAATATAAGTGAAAGCAAAATAAACAATTTGAAAAACAGACCAGCAGCATGCACTAGTGTATGAGCACCACGTCAGCTCTTTTGGAAGTAATTGAAGTAATTTGAAGTAGGCAATGAAGACATTTCCATTAATCGCGCCAGTTTTTTTTTTTTTTTTTTTTTTTGGGGGGGGGGGGGGGCATATTTACACAATCACTGTAATGCCTAAAGGACACGGCTATGCTTACAACTTTCACAAGCTAATCTAGAGAAACATTATGGTGCACCACATACATTAAGATATTGATGGATTTACAAATAGTCACTTCCACTTAACCAGCAAAGAGCCACCCCGCCATATAGAATAGATTGAAAAGCATGAGGTTGGCGCACTCACCCCAAAATATGCAGATTTGTCTTTCATATCAAGCTTGCACACAGGACAGAAGGTCCCCCACTTAGTCAGCCACGAGTCAACACAGGTTGAATGAAATTCTGCAAGTCTTATCAACACACAATCAACAAAATAGTGCATAGAAGTTGAACTTTCTAACCAATAAGTTTGTTTTTTGTAATATATCTAGTTCGGATGTAGATAAGGATGATGGAATGACAGAAAAGTTGTCTACAACCTAAAAGCAGTGTGCCTAAATCCGTTTTAAACATGTTGCAAATATATGAGCAAGTTCCTACCATGGTGACAAGGGAGAACTTTAAGAACTTCCCCATCTTTATAATCCTCAAGGCAAATCGCACAAGTTTCACCAACATGACACTGACTTAAACTAGCATTCCGGAATGTGAAGCACGGAAGGGCTTCAACCATCTTACTATCCACACTTTTACAGCGATTATTTGTTCGCTGCCAATGCAACCAGTGTCTGGGAGTAACAAAAACAATGATAAGGAGACCTAAAATAACAACAACAGAAATCAATGATATTGCCAACACAGTCCATGCTGCATCAGTACGAGATGAATAAATGCAACATTCCCCTTCTTTCCCTCGTGCACGCTCCTTCAATACTTCCCCCGCATACTTCGAAACAAAAACCGCATGGACCTTAATTCCCTCAGGATTCACCATCACTGCACACAGGTAATAGCATATTAAATTACATACCAATCTCAAAACAAGAAATTTAACTTTTTTATTAGTTTTGATATAAAAATACAAAACAGAGTAATTCCAAGGATCAATACTAACTGAAACTGCATGGGCTTCACAACATTGAGATTTTTAAGCAACTGCCATCAAGATTGCTCTAAAAATAAACTATTTTCTAGTAACTTTTGCTACATCCCTAAAAATCTCCATCAAAATCAAAATTTTGAATACAATAGCATAAGGAACAATTAGTTATAGAGTACACCCTCCACATTTATTTACATTAGGAATAGGAAAGTGAAGAGCAATAGACATTTACACTGTGTTTGCTAGAAGAGATTGGAGGAAGGATGGATAAGAGGGGAGGGATTTGGTACATCCATTGTTTGGCTAGCGGGAAGGATAAGGAGGGAATGGAGGGATCTCTCCCTTAAAAATACTTCCTCCCAGTTTCTAAATTTTTAAAACTAGATGGACAGTTAGCCATCCATCCTTTCTCCTCTGAATCAAGTATGCAAATAAATAAAATATCTGCTGGAAATGAACAAAGTATGCAAATAAATAAAATATCTGCTGGAAATGAACAAAAAAAAAACAATACGAATGCAAATACGACTTGATTAAGATAAAAGAGAGAGAGAAGACTTAACTGTAAATCAAATTCCTGTTATCTTTATCATCAAAAACAATGGCAGCACGAAAACCAGCACTTTGGGCATTCTTAATCTTATCTTCGAAAGCACATTCACCTCTCATTATCAAAGCAAACCTCCCACTTTCATTGAACTCGAGACGATTGCGTAGCGGAGAACAAGCGTCCAGAGGGTTTGCCACGTGTAACGATCCACACACACGAGAGCCATTAAGGCTGAGAGCTAAGAAAACACAGAATCACAGCAAAGTTGATTAATTAATTAAAAGAAAAGGTAGGGGAAAAAAGGACATGATTCTGAGCCTCAATTTTGAAGAGAAGTTAAGGGAAAGTACCGGATTTAGCAGGAAGGTCTGGGAAGGAAATGGATGATGGTTTTATAAGGACAGTCGCTGAACTTCCTTCAATTATCATTATAGCGTAAAAGAGTGATACTATAAGAAACAAACCCTCTCTCATTTCTCTTCCTTCTATCTTCTATTTCGATTTAATTTCCTGTTTCCTTCTCTGACCCTCAAAATTCAAGGATAAAGGAGAGCTGGAGCTTGAGGATGCTAATGCCTGATGCTATGTTGTTGGGCTACAAAATGGTCCCTATATTTATCAATTTTCATCAAATCAAATCCCTTACTTTCAATTAGATAAGATCAGCGACTTTATTTCAAATCGAAGGCGATTTGACGTGATATTCTCTGTCAACTCATACCATACCATCAGCTATTCATGTATGCATTTATTGAGTAAAGAGGTTGAAATCAATTTAATTATAATTGAAACTGATGACTTGATCCAATTTAAACCGAGGACTTGATTGAACAAAGTAGAGAGACACCATGTATGATTTTAGCCAATACTGTTAATGACACGGCGGCTGAATGTCTGGACGACGACGCGTCGTTCAAATAGTGAAGCAGCTGGAAGGAAGGTCGAAACTTGAAGACAGTGTTTTTTTAATATATATATATATATATAACCTTTTGCACGTTAATATTAAAAAAATATATTTTTTATTTATTTTCAAATAAAAAGGATTTTCTACCAGACATGTAATTAAATACAGAGTTAGAAATTTTAGCTTGGAAGGGTCAAATTAGAGAAAACATTATTAAGGTATCAAGATGTAGAATTTTCTATTTTTAATATTAAAATTTTAATTTATTGAATGAGGAGGCTAAAAAAAACTTTTCTTGTAGGAGCTCTGCAGCCCTTCTAATTCCGCCCCTGCACATTCTTAAAATAGTTGAGGCCCTAATTGATTTTTTTAATTGTAAGAAAAAATCATAATATTAGATCTAGGGACTAAATTAAAATTCTCCAACATTATAGGAACTAATTTTTTAAAAAAAAAAACCAGCATCAGGTTACTTTAGAAAAACTAAAAAGACTATGATTGGCTATCTTAATCCATTACATTATTCATTTAATTATGTTACATGATTCCCTGTATCAAATTACATGTCATAGTCATACGTGATGCTTTTTTATGAAGGGGGAAGGTCTTCTTCTTCAAGAAACAAATAATTAATTGACCGGTTTGTTTTTAAATTTTAGAAGTATTTTAAAAAAATTAAATTTTTTATTTGTTAAATTAATCTTTTGTTATGTTTGTAGATCATTTTAACATACTAATATTAAAATTAATTTTTAAAAAATAAAAAAATATATTATTTTAATATATTTCTTTGTACAAAGCAGTTTAAAAACTATACATATAAACACCACTCTAGAAAATAAACGACATTATCAGAAGATTAAACAATGAATCCATCAATCAAATATCACAAAGAGTTTAAAAATTAGGAAACCTGTCATAATCTTAAACTTATCCCTACTCAACTATGCCCTTGGGTGAAAAATGTAAAGCTGTGATTATAAAACTATTCCTTTTAATCAAATTAAATGTCCAAGGTAAAATTAAAGACGATATAAGTTTAGATTATAACCGATTGAACATATATATCATAATGAATATGTTTCATCATAAATATAATATAATTTTATATTAAATATTCAAACTTGTAATTGATTTAATATTAAAAGTCCTAATGCATAATAGTAATATATATATATATATATATATATATATATATTCGTTGAAACACTTTAAAATAATAATATTTTAGTTGATAAAAAAGAATATTTTCTCTGAGGCAGTATCTCGTACCATATCATTTGTTATTCATGTATTAATTGAAAATCAACTTTAATTATAATTAAAAGTGTTGGCTTCATCCAATTTAAACTAGAGGACTTGATTGAACAAAGTAGATAAGCAAGAAGAAATTTTAAAAGTGGCTAAAGAAGAAACATTGTAATTATAGGTGAAGAAGGCATGGTATAGTAGTATGGATTATTATTTTTTTAGATTAATGTGGGTGTCCGGGTCAGCTTGCGTGCACCACGACTAATCCCACGGGCCTTGAAGTTAACGATCATATAAGCCTCCAATGGCCATCATATGAGCAATTAAGGACTCAAACCTGAGACTATAGAGGGAGCAAACTCCTTGATTCCAAATTCTTACCACTTAGCTACCACCTAAATGGTTAGTATGGATTATTATTGAATTCATTGGTGGAAAGCTATACTTACAACATTATTAGGATCAAAGAAAAACTGTCAGGGAAGGAGTTTGATAGTCTTAATTAACGGTGGAAGCACTCGTAGTTTCATTGACATTAAAGTTATGGAAGAAATCAAAGTCACTGTCATTAAAATACATGTTCTTCTTGCAAAAAGAATGTTGAATATCTTGATCATATAATCTCTTCAGAAGGAGTGGCTACTAATTCAAAGAAAACAGAAGCAATTAGAAACTAGCCTACACCACAGTCGGTTAAAGAATTGAGGGAATTTTTTGTGGATTAACTAGTTATTAAAGAGAAAATATAAGGAACTTGGGGGTTATAAGCAAACCGCTGACTGAGCAGTTAAAGAAGAACAATTTTAGCTAGAATGAGAGATCACATGTGGTGTTAGATGGCTTAAAGGAAGCTTTAAGCAAGGCACCAATTTCGACCTTACTAGACTTTAATATACCATTTATCTTGGAAACCGATGCTAGTGCTACTAAATTAGGAGTTGTGTTTACTCATAACAGGAGACCCTTAGCATACTTTAGTAAAGCATTATGTGTTCAAAAAAATTGAAAAACTGATTAAACCGAGAAAATCAGAAAAAAAAAACTGAAAAAACCGAATCGAAAAAAAAAACCGATTAAACCGATTAAAATTTTGAAAAAACCAGCCGGTTCGGTTCGGTTTTGGTTTTATAATCAAAAAACCGAAAAACCGAATTGAACTGAACCGAACCGAAACCGGAAAAAAAAACTGAGCCAAAATCGAGCCAAACCGGAAAAACCGAGCCAAAACCGAGAAAACCGAGCCAAAACTGAGAAAAACTGAGCCAAACCGGAAAAACCGAGCCAAACCGATTTGAACTGGTTTTTCCCTTAAAAAACCGAACCGAACCGAAACCGGTCGGTTTGACCCGGTTTCGGTTCGGTTTCGGGGTTTTTTTTTCAAAAATTTTTTTCCCGGTTTGGTTACTTTTTTTGATAAAAACCGAACCGAACCGAAAATGAACACCCCTAGTTTATCCATACATGAAAAGGGATATATGGCTATTCTAAGGGCAGTGGAGAGATGGAAGCATTATTTGGAACATGATTAGTTTATTATCAAAATTGATTAGGAAAGTTTGAAGGTTTTTCCAGAACAAAAACTCCGGACACCTATCTAGTGGAAAGAACTAGCTAAAATGTTGGGATTTAGGCACATTATCCAATACATAAAAGGGAAGGAAAACATGACAATTGATGCTTTATCTAGGAGGGCACATTAGAATCCAAAACTCTTACAAGAGGTTTAAGACTATGATCTATCAGCCTTCTATAAAGGACAAAAAATATAGAGGAATACAATGTATGTAAACAATAAACATGAAAATGATGTCTTATTCTATTCTGCTTCAACCATTGCCTACAAATAAGGGTATTTGGAGAAATATAATAAAGGATTTCGTGGAAAGGTTGTCAACATCAAGAGAAAAGAATATCATACTAGTTATTGTGGATAAATTCTTAAAATATGCACATTTCTTGGCTATCACACATTCATTTATTGCTAAAGAAATTACTCACTTATTATTGGAGCATGGTTATAAGTCCCATGGATTACCTTCTTACAAGGTTTTTACAAGCCTGTTATGGAAAGAGGTGTCAAAACTACTGGGGGTGAGATTATTGATGAGCACATCCTTCAATCCAATGTGTGTCCATGCACTGTCCTAGCAAGTGGGATAATGGGCTAGTTCAAGCACTATGTTAGTACAATGCAAGCAAGCTACCATTCAGCTATCAAAACAACTCCCTTTCACAACTCCCTTTCAGGCATTGTATTGCTACCCTCCCCCTAATATTGAGGTTGATTCTACAACTCCAGTGGCAGCTATGGAAAAAGCCATTCAAATAAGATAGTATGAATCAGTGGTTCAGGTTGCAATTGAAAAGCTCTAGAAATAGATGGTTGACAAAGCCATAACAGGAAACTTTAAAGTTGGTGGTTAGGTTTATTTAAAGTTGCTACTATATAAACAGATGAGCTTAGCATGGAGAAAGAACATAAAGCTTAACCCAAGGTTTTATGAGCCTTACAAGGTCACACAAAAGGTTGGGGAGGTTGCTCATACAAAGTTTGATCCCTTGACCTGTGAGTTCAACTGTTAACCGTCATACAAAAGGTTGGAGAGGTTGCTTATACAAAGTTTGATCCCTTGACCTGTAAGTTCAACGGTTAACCGGTATCCCAATCTGGCAAGCTACAACAATGGAGTCCGGCAACCTATCATTGCAGGTCTGCTTGGGTTATGTTTGATATTAAAACACTCGTCCCATCACCAATGTTTGGTGCCTGGCATATTTAGATTAACAAATATACGCTTGCTTGTCAGTAATCAGTTCCAGCAGCATTAATAGCCAGAGTTTCCCAGACAGATCTATCTGACTAGATATATATACCTCGACAAAAATCTCAAAATATGCTGACCCGCCAAAGACAAATTTACATTCCACTTTTTGGGAGGTAAAGTAGGGAAAAAATGACAATACGAAGCAATGACTACAATTTTACAATGGAGAACCAACCTAAATTACTCTTTCCATCTGATTCGCTCACTATTTCTTACCACTCTTCTATTTCATCATCAGAAATATCACTTTCTTTGTCATCTAAACTCATCCTATCGCAACTCTCATCATCTGTCTTGTTGCAGTACACAAGTGCTTGATTATCTTCAAAACCAGATGCTCTATGTTCAAGCCATTTCAACACAGGCATGTACTCAGTAGCTACATCTGACACATTACAAGAGCTGGATCCATTATAAGCAATAAATCTCTGTCTTGCTATCTCTTTCTGCAGTGACACGTCAAACATAACATCCTATATAAGTCAAATCCATCACATTAGCTATCAACACCTACCAACATCTATGCATATTGCAACAGACAATGTGATCATAAAACCAT